TTACATTGTTATTACATTCAACATACTTTTGTTAGGAAGTAAGACCTATAATCACTTTTTCTTCAACCTATTTTTTGTCTCTTTAGTATGGAACGCCTCCTCTGCCTTCAGTTCACAATCATCATGCAGTAATTATCAATCATCATGCAGTCATTACCATTCACTATGCAGTCATTACCAATCACTATGCAGTCATTACCATTCACTATGCAGTACTTACCAATCACTATGCAGTCATTACCAATCGCTATGCAGTACTTACCAATCACTATGCAGTACTTACCAATCACTATTCAGTACCTGTCTCTTATACACATCTAGATGTGTATAAGAGACAGAGACGATACAGCACTGTCGTTCCATTGTGTGCCCCCTTTTTGCATTGCATTCTTCATGGAATTATATCAGCCGAAGGTCTCTTTAATCCTTAATTTTCCCAATAAAGAGATATTAAATCATTGTCTTGTAGAAGCTCATTGATTCTTCGGTATACTTATATTTAGTTCAAACCATGCTAATTCTTGCTACGGGATTGGAGTTGAGGATTCAGAACTGATGTTCCCAACCACCGAGCTACATGCAACGTCCATGCTCAAAGTTGTTATTAGGAACCGAACGGAACAGAATCAAGAGGTAATCAATGGCTTTTATTAATTATTATGTCAAATGAAATGGGTGTGACGATTAACTATCTGCCCGAATATCTTCCATGAAGTGGAGGATGTTGTACTTTGTGCATAATGTGAGTAATGAATTTAGACATAATACTTACGTTTTAATGGCATCTTTCGTTTCATTCATTAAGGTCAAATTCCTGAGCCCACAGACTCCATTTATGATAAAGCACTTTAAACATGTGATCCGCAATGGGCACTATGCCCGGCTTCCCGTCTTCTTCAAGCCCACACATCCAGGCAAGTTTTCCGGGACGGTAGTTATTCAGACCAGTTCGGATCAAAAGCTAGCTGTCAAACTCCATGGGGAAGCAGTTTAAAGGTTAGTTTGATTTTAATATTATTTACTGTTATGATTGTGGATTCATAAAGAAAGGAATTTACATGAACTATCTTCCTATTAATTATTCGCTGCTTGTCTCTGTTGAGTGATACTCTCGCACATTGTTCTTAACTTTTAGTGTGATTCCACTTTGATTGCATCAGTCCTTTTCCAATGTGGTCTGTCTTTGCTTCTTTGTCATTCCTCCAACATTTAAGAAGTGTTCATAGTAACTTTCTTTGCCGTATTCTTATATCCGAACAATTTGTTCCTTTTCCACATTACGGATTTCTCATTATCGTAGATAATGATGGAATGTTCATGCCCTACGACTGACTCCTTTTAATTTCCCTTCCCAAAGAGCCTAATGTGAAGATCATTTTCCGTATATTTATCAATGTTTATATTCATCCATCATAATATAAGGTATAATAGATGAAGAATACTAATATTATTCACATATTATTTTTATCTTAAAACTTTGTTTTTAAAATTCACTGATAAAACACATGGTAGTAATAATTATATATGAATAACCAAATAGCAATTATGCTATTATTGTAAATGTCCCCCTCTATAGTTGAAACTGTACAATAGTTAGATCTGCTGGAAGGGATTTGGATTTTTTTAGTATGTATGCAGACATTTTTTAAGTGAAATATTAAAAACACTTGAATCACTTGAGGACATCATGCTTCACCAGACTAGACTGTTCGAACTTGAATAACCTCTCATCCATATCATACAACATTCTTTAAAGACATTAGTTGAGTAGAAAGCATGATGTTACATTCATCTCTAAAGCTGTAACTAGAGGGGAATGGCTTAGCAATTAATTTCAGTATCACAAAGTCTCTTTTTATATGAATTTAAATGTCAAATGTAAACAAATTATAGGTATAAACTGTCTATAGTAAAGTCTAGATAAACCCTCAAACATTCAGCCTCATGTTATGTTAGACTGTCATGTCTTATGTGGCCAATATCTGTGAATTAAAAATAAACAGGCTTGATAATGTCATATGACACTAATATACAGCATAATGATGTCATATTACAATGAAAATTACAATGTATAAGATACGATATACTCTTTATTGTCAAAATAGACTTTAGTTACATTTAGATTACACCATAATCAGGTGAAAAAAGGGTATAAATATCAAAGAAAAATATCTAAATAATACAAACCGATACAATATATACAGCGATTACAATAAATATGATAAAAAACTATTTATATATTGTTGACATAATTTTTATTATAATCTGTCATCCTTTATTTTTGGCTGACTATTTCTATAAATTTTTCAATTTTGATTCTTCAAAAATCTAAGGATTTTTATTAGTAATATGTATTTCTGTCCTTCTCTATTCCCTGAGATATACTGTATGACTATATGGGGGAGTGGGTGGATTGTACCATTCATATTTGTGAAGAAAATTTTAAAAATTACCATATCATCCTATGTTCAGAAACCTTAGACAAAACCTTATTTTATAGATTTTTTTTACAGTAGTTTAATTTTAATTATATACATACAGGGCCCCCTCTAATTAAAGACTCCTCCAATTAAAGGCCACTCCCATTTAAAGACCAATTGGCACTGGATTAACTAAAGAAAAGAAAATTCACAAATAATATCAATGTACTAAGAGAGTGGTATATAATACTACCAGAAATTTCTGCATATTTATTTTGTACTAAAATATTATTTACCGTCAGGTTTCCCATGAAATACAGTAACAGTGTAAATTTCATGCACGCTTCCAAGAACCTGTCTACTGCCATAGGCTGTGTTTTCTGCTAGTACATTATTAAGACAAAGAGGGTCTGCTTACTGCTGTGATAGCCTGGTTAAGAGATTCGTTTCCATGGTGTGATGATAACACCCAATCAGAATGTATTTTGGAAAAGGAGTACACATTAATATTGAAAAAGTACACGTTGCTACCGGGAGAATATAAATCGATCCATTATTTGCTGTGAAATTTTTTTTTTTCTTTAATTCTTAGGAAATGGTATTTAATTATTAGATATTTTATATTAGCAATTATTGTGGGATTAGGGTGTAGGTGCACTCTTGTTGTTGGTTCAGTCTTGATTTACCCCTACAGGTCGGTTTGAGCTCAAGTTTTGTGTTTACCTTTTCATTTAGTACTGACACTCTGTCGTTTATTTTATTATTTATTTAATTTTACTTTTAGGCACAATGTCCGAAGATATGCCAATAGCAAACTTATGCACTAAATGGCAATCTCTTTCTCAATACAACATATACACATGATACACTACATGAACCAAGTCTCATTATGAGGCGTACAGTAGGGATTAGAATTGTTTTTGTCGTGAGAGTTGTGTAATGTAATCTCTATGTATCTTGGATACAGATGTGTATATTACTAGCTATAAATAATGTAACTGAACACAGTTTATAATAGGTACTATACTATTCAATTGGAAATTCTTCACTCACTTGCAGTGTTTGAGTTATGAAAATTATTATTATTATTATTATTATTATTATTCTTTCTTTAGGCACACAACACATGTGCCAAGGATTGGCAATAGCGAATATATATCACTGTCCTACTTGTAGGTGACAATCCCTTACACAAGACAAACATACACACACGATGCTTTACACAAACTAAAAGTGTGTTGTTATGTAATTTCATATGGCTAATTATTATGATTTGATGTTGTTTTTTGTTGTTAAACAGTGTAGATTATATGTATGTTTTCAACACCATGGTTTTAGCGACAATTTAAGTGTCACAGTGGTTTGTCTAACTTCCAGCCGTCAAGTTTTATGCTTTTTGCATTTTATTAAAAGTAAAGTACATTAAAAATCAGACTTTGTGTGTGCCATATATATCAACATAATTAAGATTTGTTGAGCTACAGAAAAAGAAGAAGTAAATTGTTTTAACTTCTTATATAGTAGAGTTACCAGCTTTCATTTTGAAAATAAAAAAAAGACTTTTCTCTGTAAATTAAGAGATACAAAATTAAAACCTGTCATTTTTGCATAGACCCTTTTAAATTGGTTGGTAATCAATTTATGGATTTCATAGTACACAATTTAATTTTATCCCTTAAAATTTTTCAATTAATTTTTCCCCTAAAATAATACATGACTATTATCAAGAATATTTATTTTAATTTTTCATTTAATGTTTCCATTATTCCTGTATCCAAACGTTTCTACAACACAGCAACACTTTGTTCTGTGTTGAAAGGAGTTGCTAAGGTTGTTGTTCATCTTGCAGCAAGCCATGCATTTACCTTAGTGGAAACATTCTGTAAATTATAATGTATAGTTATAGTTCATGTTTCTTGGAAGTCTAATTTAATTTTTTTAAATGTTTGAATTAATGTTTCTGCAACATGGCAACACTGTGTTCTCTGTTGAACGGCGTTGCTATTAAAGATTGTCGTTCATCTTGCAGTAAGTTGTGTATCTACCTCAGTGCTCAGTGGAAACAATCAAATCTAATTTAATTCCTTAAAATATTTTAATTAATCTTTCCCACTAAAATAATACCTATTTGCATGTGATTTCTATCAAGAACATTTTTATTTAATTTTCCATTTTTCTTTTATCAAAATATTTTTGCAACACTGTGTTCTGTGTTGAATGGCATTGCTAAGATTGTTGTTTCATTTTGCAGTAAGCTATGCAGTTACCTTAATGGAAATAGTCTAAAAAATTTTGAATAGTTGTAGTCTGTATTTTTAGGACATCTAATTTGATCATAATTTTCTTGTATCCGAATGTTTCTGCAACACAGCAACACTGTTTTCAGTGTTGAACAGCGTTGCTAAGATTGTTGTTCATCTTGCAGTAAGCTATGCATTTACCTCAGTAGAAACTAGGCTTTAGACTCACACTGGAGTACATTGCTGGCATTAAATGTCATTGCTATTTTAACAGTAGGATAATGAGATGAGAAGTAGCATTTCTGTCTAGACAGATAAAACAGGACAGAGAATTTCATCGATATTTCAAATTGTAATGCTACGTTGCCTCTATTGATCTATTTTCGTCTCGTTTGTTTTCTCATGCTGATAATATTTATATTAAGGTGGAATAAAATACAAAATAATCATTATTGTACATAATGCAGAGTATTGATGATATAGTTGTTGCTGATAAGAATATTATAATAGTAAAAGAGTGCATTATCCTAAGAAATTTAAAAATAGAGTAACACAGACATTTATGCTTTTATAGCCATTGAATATGACTTTATTCTCTCATTCTAACTTTTTCAGAGCATTGTACTTAATAAATGTGTTAAAAGTGTTCTACAATGCTTTTTTTCTCTTGCTTTTGTTCTCCCATTCTGTCTGCCAGAGTGTTGTACCTAATATGCAGGCTGGCAAAAGTACACAATTGGCGGTTGGAGGCATTTTAACTGTCCCAGAGTTATTTTTGGGGGAAAAATCCCAAACAATAAACTATTGGGCTGTAGGGTCTACAGATAATATTTGGTGCTGAAGGCATTTTTTCAAGACAACTTTCATGATTTTTTTTTCCAGGCCTGCTAAAATGTATTAAAGAATACATCCTCTAGTAAATTTAGCTAAAAAATTTAAATAAAATTCATTATTTTAATTGCTCACTTTGCACATTTATCTTTATTAGATTTTAGTTTAAAATTAGAAGACAAAACAACATAAAGAATTGGAAAACTTCTTCACAACTGTAACTACTAATATTGGACATCAATGTAGAGCATGCGTTTTTCATGTGTTTTCACCAGGGATTTATAGAATGTGTCATTAATATCTATCACTATATCATTACAATCGTCATTACCGAGTGTGAAAAATAATTATGTATTGGAGAACATAATCTATGTCATTCCTCCATGTATTTATTAATCATTAATGTGTGTCTATGTTCTGTGTGTTAGAACAGAAAAAATCCTTTGGTCTTTCAATCAGGGGGCGGGGAGAATGGTTATAATTTTAAGCCTGAGGCCAATGACATTGTTTGCAACCTTGGTCAAGGCACTTTATGCAAACATTTCACATTACTCGTCATCCAACTGTGTTGGTATTTGGTAGGATATAATTTATTTTAAATTGGTGTTTGCTAGACCAGAATGTACTCTACAGGGAGTTCAGGGGACTGCACAATAATGCTTTTGAATGTCTATATATCCAATGACCAGGAAAATATGATTGAAGATGCAATCATTTTCAATTATTGCTGAAGAAACCAATAATAATTATATGGTAATAATATTAGTAATAGCTAAATAAATAGTTAATTGCTCTCGAGGTTGGAAACAAGCAGTGATGCTAGACGACATGAACAAAAAAATGAGCTTTGCTGCCGATGAAAAAAAAAGCATGCTGTAGAAAAAATTGGATATGAATGCCTTGAACCTGTATAAATAGTAATAATAGTACAGTATTAATATTTTTTTGTATAGTAATAATAATAGTAATATTATTAATAATAGTAATACTAATAATATGTACCGCTTACATATTTTTTGCCACTAAGGCGAGACATTTTTTTATAATTTATATAACTTTTTAATATGCAAATATTGATGATTTCAAATAAAATAAAATTTTATTTTTGGCCAATTAGCGCACCCTCTGCCACTAAAAAGTGGAAATGTAAGAAAAAAATAAAAGTTTTTCTTTATTTTTATTACACTCTGTGCTGCCTTGAAATCTCCAAAGATAAGATATATATATTTCTTCCTAATCATATAAACTTAAAGCATTTTATTTATTTATTTTATTTTATTTATTTCTGTCTTTTGTGTGATAACACTTTCAGTGACGTAGCATTGGTATCACAAGTGGATCACAAGTAAAACGAATAAAAGAGAAACCAAAATGAAAAAGAAAAAAAAAAAAGAAATTAAACTTAAAGCAAAATAGGATTTAAGCATCCTATTTTACATTCACCAATAAAATTTTATTTTTATTTACTCCTCCATCTGGATGATTTTGGCAAAAATTTTTGCTAAATAAGAAAACAAAAATTTTATTTTTATTTTTTTTCCCCTCCTCAGATAATCTTAAAAAAAAAATAAGTACGCGAAACAAGGAATATAAAAGTCTCAGGTTAAATAATATTTAAGTTGATAATAGATTAACTAATAATAATAATTGTCAATTTATATAGCGCATAATATAAAAATACTCTATGCGCTTTACAGCATGGTGTTAGAAAAAGTTTCTCCTAAAAAATTATTTAGTAAAAATAGTTTTACTGAAATTTTGGCTAAACTATGGAGAATATGATGTTGTTATAACTATCATCCATCCATAGTCCATCTAGACTTAATTCAACTTCATCACACCAATCTCTTCCTACAGTACATCAATCCCATCTTTATTGAAATTCACTTTCTGCCTAGATTAGTCAAGAATACTTTAAAATAACAAGTACTGTAAACTAAGTAACAATTAAATGAAATTGCAACTTTAACAATCAATAAAGGAGGTACGTAATACAGTAGTAAAACAACAGTTTGCTCGGCTAAACTAAATATGCTACTTAGAGAACTTAACGAAAAGCACTGTTTCCTCAGGCTGTTTACCCGTAATATATTTTTAGGTAAACTGTATCATTGTAAGTTTTAGGAAAACAAATCAGCAAAGTCAAATGCGAACCTCACTTTACTGACGTGAAATTAATTTCTATTTTTAATCAAGATATTGTTTCAGGAGAATATCAGACATCATACAATTGATCTGCGTCAAGTGTTTACATAGAATTTCGTAATATTTCTTTAATGTATTGAAAGCTTTATTAATGTTTATACAAGAATGAATGTATGAGTGTTGTATGATCAGATAAGGCACTATTAACAAACAGAGCAAACTAAAATTTCTCTATATAGCTATTATTACATTTCTCCTGTATTAATTTACATTCAACTTGTGTCTGGTTCAGTAATTGGAATAAACGTCAATTCTGATCAGATTAAATTTGATTAGGTTTGATCGTAGTTGATCTGAAACAGATAAATGTGATCCTACTTAATCTGATATCAAATCTGAACAGATTAGTTTTGATCATAGTTAATCTGATTTAAATCTCATCAGATAAATGTAACTGTATCAAATCTAATCATGATCATCTTTAATCTGATTTAATTAAATCTGTCCAGATCTTTTTAATCAAATCAAGCTGATTCATGTAATTTGTGTCTACTGCCCCACTTGTAAAATTGGAGGAATGATGGGATGCATCATAACCTAAAGATAGAAATGAAGTCTTCCAAAAGTAACACTATGATATATGATGCCATGCCCAGATAAGACCTGTCCTAGAAAAAACTAAAAAGTCAACAATCTGTTACTTGTACATTTATTCAAGTGAATTTCCAACTCAGAAGTCGAAGGTGGGTTATGAGTTAAAAGTAGCCACAAAATATGTCCAGCAGTAGACATGTGCTCCTGCTAGAAGCCTATTTTTGTATAATGTACAGGGGAGGATTTTGGTGGGGAGTGGGAGGGCAGGCTGGCTGCACCACTTTTGGAAAGTATAAAAAA